AATTACTTTCTTTTCAATTAAACCTAAACCACGCGAACGTGCGTAAACGGGCAATTATCACTCTCTCTACTTTAACTTACTAACACGAGCTTTTTTTTTTTTAAATAGCTCTTTACTGACGCTAAAACGATTAAAGACGCGTTATTGACTCCGGATTGGAAGGACCTTCCGATCCGACAATAATCCGCGGCTCGTTAACATCGAGCGTAAATACGGCAGGCAAACAGGCGCGAAGTTTTCCTGGACGGGGACGCGGGGGATCAATCAGTCCGGGCTTACGCGATTTCTTGTCCCGGGGACAGCTCAAAGGGAAGGGAAAACACAGCCTACGGCCTCGGTGGGGTTCGTTTGCATCCGCGGGACGCAATTTCCATTTTTCAAAGGGGCCAACGCGGAACGCGGAGCCCGCCCCCTGGATGGAAACTCGACGAAACCAAATATGCGGCTCGCGCCGCTGCTTTGATCAGCTTCTTCTTCTTCTTCTTCTTCTTCGACGGGGAGAAAACGTGACGCCACTCTCCTTTTTCCATCGAGCGTCGTGCTCCAACCTCCGCGTCGTTAATGTACGTCGTCTCTGTTTATGTAGCCTCTTCCGGTCTAATGCAGTTTTGCCATTCGACAAAACCTTACCTTGCCCTTGTGAAGTAATTAATATAGAGCAATGATGACCGAACCTATGACCCGCGGGTCAGACACTGACCCACGCAGGCTTTTTAAACGATCCACGCGTTGATTTTTATAAACTTGTCATCGTATATATAAAAGAATTTTAATTATTTTTCGAACCTCTCTTTTCAAAAAATGTTAAGAAAATTACAAGTGTTCGGTTGGAGGTTAAAAGTGAGAAATAAATGCATAATTGTGTTTTATGGAGGATTTACGGCTTGGTTATGTATACATGTAGGTATTCCAAGTCTTAAATGTTATTATATGAGTTAGTTGTGTCTAAGAAATTTTATACAGCGTTTACGATTAAACAGATGTAATAAACACTAAAAAAACTCACTAGATTCCATTCTCAGAATGGTTAGCTTTGCCAGTTTTTTTATATAATAAAAGAGAGAACAGACAAATAAAAAATATTGAGAAATAAAGTATATATATCTAATGTATGGTGCAGAGGTGACTGGGCATGATGTCACCCCTTTTATATCAATTTGTCGACGTCGACATTTATTTCTTGCTCTTCACTTGCAAAAGTAAAAGTTGTCAAACAAAAAGGAAACGTAAACTTTTTAGAGGATTATAAAAGTGAGAAGCAAAAAAAAGTAGTTTTTAACCATCCTCCCTTCCCCTCTTACAAGTGACGCCACTGACTTAGTGACCCACGAGCTAGTACTAAAAAAAATAATGAACAAAATTTGACCCACTTCTCAAAAAGTTTCGCCGTAACTGATATAGAGCGTTCGAACGTTCGAGCAGGAAGGGAAAGAGGGAAGGACATCCAGTTTTTGTTCTTCGCAGTTGCCCGCAAAGTGGCGCCGACGACACTTTCACTTTCACATTTGACTTTAGTTAGTCCAAAAATATTAATATAAATGAAAATACTTGTGACAACCATATCAAAGTATTCTACACACAGAGATCGCTATAATTCTAAACGATAACTAAACCAGGTAGATTTATATACACTCGTGTTTCTGTCCAAACAGAAATTAATATCAATTTTGACGAGAACAACCGTATCATTTAATTCAAACGATAGTTTGAAATCAGTCACATCGGTCAGGGCTCGATTGTTATAGTACATTAATAAAATAGTTAACATGGTACAGTGACAAATATTGCACAGTTATTTACGAAACATACATAAAAATATTATTTCTAACTGTTATTTCAAATATCCCGCTGGGAAAATGTTCACCGAATTCTTGAAAGCAAAGATTCGACTAATTATATGGTACATTGATAGAATTAAAATTAGTTAAATTAATGACAAAAATTGCACAGTTATTTATTAAAAATAATAATCTCTCTTACTGTCGTTTCGAATGTCCCGCCCGGGGAAAGTGTTCATTGCACGCTTGAGTCTCTCGCGTTAATGCGACCGTTTTCTGCTCGGCACTCGAATTAATTGGCATCGTGTTTAGGAGATAAGGTTGGTCTTAGCCAGGATGATACACTTCAGAAGGGCGCTCCTCGACAGGCGGACCTCGTTAAGCGAATCTCGATGAGGTTCTGAGTCGCGTCTGGAGACGACGAGTTGAATGTAACAATTCGCGGAATGTCGATCTGCGATCTTTCCAAGGAAACGAATCTTCCAAAAATCGTGCGACAGTTTTTGAGAAATAATTCTGTGAAAAGCGAAGACAGTGTTGGACGATGTTTCGCGAAATGCAAATGGCGAGCGAGCGTCACGATTGGCGAACACGTTCTTCCGTCCGTCGCAAATGTCACCCCGACAGAGACCTGACATTTCATCAACGCGGAAATCATCTCGAGATAAAATAACTTCGCCGCGACTGGCGAAAGGGCGACCGGCGAAAGGTTCTCAGACAATTGACACGGAAATATTCAAATCGCGTACGTAACTCGGAACGTTTCACTTTGGTAACGTGAACGCGACATTTCGAGATTTCAGATAACAGATAAATAGATAATTAGAATAAACGATAAAGAGAAGTGAAAGAGATAGTCAGACAAGTGCCATAGGATAAGAAAATAAATACAGAGATTAATAACTGAAAAACTTGTGGATACTTCCAATGAGCCGAAACGTTCGACACGTCACTGGAAAAACTTTGTCTTTGCATGAAACGAGAATATACGCGTCTTGCAAAGCCAAATTTACGCCCTCAGCATCGCGAAATACGACGCTTGTAAAAGTCACCTATAAATACCATCGCGCATCCCTGGTTTGTTTATTACTTCTCACATCCCTCTCCGTTATTGCTATTGCCCTTGCGCGAATAACGCGCGAAGCACGCTTGAATAGGCGTGTCGCGCGACAATTTGACAAGATTAGTGCCATTTGCGATTTGTAACGCTGTCCGAGCGTCGCGATTTGTCAAAAGAGAAACAAAAGACGGAGTATACGGAGAAGCTAGAGAAGGAAAAGAAAGAAGAAGAAGAAGACGAAGACGAAGAAGAAAAGGGGAAAAAAGGAGAGATAGTGGGCGCGAGATTTAATAGGATCGAAATATCCGTCGGTGTCCAGCCGGAAAATCCGAATTTATGAACCGCCGGAAGGATTTAATTTATTTAAATTTCCGAGCGGCCAGCTCCCCCCCCCCCTCCCCCTCCCCCTTCGTGTTTTAATCCTGATTTAGCACGTGGCTTTTCTTGTTGCGCCATGTAACGGCTTAAGCGGCCTGTTATCACGCGGCTGCTTATAAAGCGCGCTCACGCGGCCGATGAGTGGCCGAATTTCGCCAGTTTTCCAATTCGTCACCACAGAGAACGCGATCGAACAATTTTTCTTTCCGCCGATCGAGTTGTCTGCCGAGTCTTCGCGTCGTTTTCAATGTTTCACGCCATTTCTCTACCAACAATCATTTTCGGACCATTTTTGTTTCAAGCTTTGCACCCTACGAAAAGGAAAAACGAATCCGGAATAAAGGAATAAAGCTAGGTGTTCACTGGAGAATTGAAACTGTCGCGAGTTGCTCTCGAGAGTATTCCACGCAAATGGTGATACTGTTCGAGAGCATCAACTGTCCCTTCCGACGAAACGGAAAACAAATTTGAGAGTGACCAGCACATCTGCTAAGCTAACCTCGAAGCGTAACGACGCCAAGACGAGCACGGGGCTCGCGTGTTCCCTCTAAACGCTCGACGAAGAGAGAGGAAGTCGCATTAATCACCGGAGAACCGGCCAGCGGACACAATGGGAAAACGTTGCGTCGGCGAGGTGCGTCTAATCGTGCCGGGTGATCTCCGCCTGGCCGGACGATCGATCAAAACACTGCGCGCGACGAGGATAAACGAGAGGAGGAGGAAGGAGGCCAGCGTTTCGTCGCGATTTTTCATTTGTTTCGCCAAAGGCGTGCAAGAGGCCTTTCGTCGGCTGGATTAGGCCGCGCCGGAACTTTATTCGTACCACTCGGTTTAAGTAATTGGAAGGGTGATTTATCACCCGGTTCCTTGACGCACCGGAAGACGAAGGGTCAGAGATTGTTGCCTGACCAATGATCGATCGTTTCGATAGGTGCAACCGGACGGTCGGTACGTGATTAAGCGATTTCCGCGAGAAAAACGAGCCAGCACGGAACCCGACGCGCAGTTCTTCTTCCGAGGATCGAGGTATTGCAGAATTGCACTGCAAATGTTGTTTTTCGACAAGTTAATTGTATTTTCATTACCAGCCAAGTTCATTCTAAATCATATTGTCATTATATATCTTGATAGCCAACATTTCAAGGTTTATTTTTAAAAAAATTCGTTTAATTCTGTGCAGTTACTTTTTTGGAGAGGGGGGAAGTATCGTATCAAAAATGGAAAATAAAAAAAAGCATTTTCGACATATTTTGCTTTTTTATTACCTTTCTTATAGAGCTAAGAATGCTGTTCAAGCAAGAGGAGAGTTATGTGAAGCGTGTGGGGAAGATGCTGCATTTCATTTTCCATTTTGGATACAACAAACAAGTTGTGTAAAGAAAGTCGACAAAATTCACGTCAAAGGAAAAACATAAAACAGACGCAAAGAATCCTCCGAAAGAGCCTTTTAAGATCTGAGAAATCCCTCAGAGAAGGAGAAACAAGGGATGCTACTTGAAGACTACAAATGGGCAAACTGGAAGTAAAAAAACGCAAATCAATCGAGCTATCGAACGAGCCGGTAGTGTATGTAATCGTGTAATTGTATATTCCTTGCAGTTGTTTTGCGAAAATTATTTGTGACTCGACCCAATATTTTATCTCCTCTGAAAGACACGGGTGTCTGATTGATTTTTCTCGAGAAACTTCGATGCTTCAGCGACTCTCTCAAACTCTTGATTATTATTACAAAAAATTCCATCTCTACGATCGAAGATTTCTTAAGATTTCAATTCGGTTTGCAGGTCAGAACGACATCAAGAAGCTGCGCAGGGAGAACGAGCAGCTGCGCAGAGAGATATGGAGCCTGAGGGACGAGTACGACAAGCTCGAGGAGATACTGAAGAGGCAAAAGTGCCGCTCGGAAAGCGAAGAATACGAGGTAGCACGGTTCAAAAGTTCCTTCCTTTCGAATCCGGACGAGGGGAGGATGACTGATCGATTCGTCGATTTTCCGGGGTTTTGTTATTTGATTGATAACAGCAGCGTTGTTTTCGTCGGCGGAATCCCCGATTCGAGGGATACCGATGGAAAATCGATGTAGTCGGCGAGAACAAGCGTCATAAATTGTCCATTCTGATGTCGAGTATCGAGAAATATAGTTAGAAATATTTAGTAAAAAAAATTGTATACGTACAGGATGGAAAGAAAAGTTTGTCCGCGGCTAGCTAGCTTTTCGCATTGTATTCTACTCGTCACGAAGATAAAATTTTCCCAAGGAACCGTAGATCCTATAGAATAATTCTCCTGAAAAAGTTTCTTAATCATTTAAAACACTGCGGACGCGTGCGTTCTAACAGCGACTTTATGATTCTGGACGCGTGGATGTAACGTTTATATTTCGAATAATATTAACAGTTAGTTTCATCATTTCATTATTTAGGCTCACACTGATGCTACAATTATGATAAATCAAATGTTGGTGAAACTTAATGCGAAAATTAATGTAAAATAGACAACCATGAAGTCGCTGTTAGTACGCATACGTCCGCAACGATTAAGAAACATTTTTGCCATTATTCGAGAGAACTATATGGTTCCTATATGGAAAAGTTTTACCTTCGTGACGAGTACAATACAACGCGAAAGAGAAAGAAATTCTTTTGTCTTTGAAATTTAATTTTGCAGCGAGGTTCTTTACACGTATCTCCATCAAATCATCTACGACAGCCAGAAACAAACTCTTCCTTCCCACCCTGTACGTACAATTTGGTACAAAGATTCCACAGACAGTGTCATTCGAAATTACCGTGAATATCGCGTGATCGTAATTTCGTGGATTATTTCAGGATCGCTCCGACGAGGATGACGGGCTGCGATCCGATTACTCGTTCGAGGAGGACGAGGAGGAGCTCAGCCAAGACGGCGATGAGGCCGCCAAAGAGCAGGACAGACCCGAGCAATTAGAGAACGTGGAGAATCAGAAGATCTCGACGGAGAAGATGGCCAGCAACGGGCTGCACCGACTGCACGTGGACTTTGACGACCTGTCGGTGGTCGACGAGGAGGAGGAGCTGAAGAGGGACAGGGACAAGAAGGAAGTTCCCACGGAGAACGTTCCGCGACCGAACGAACAGAAAAGTCCGCATTCCATCCTGAAGCCGAGACAACTTCACGAGAACATCCCGTTTTATCCTGGCGCCTATCAGCCTCCCGCTTACTACGCCGAGTGTCCCTTCAAGTTCCCAAGCACGCTGAACCTGATGATGCCTGCCAACGCGTCGTCGGTGATGCTGGCCTCTCCGTGTCCGAGAATGAACGCGGAGCCGATGGTCCCGATATCGAGCCTAACCGAGCCAAGCGTGGACGAGATCGACGATCATCAAATACTACACGCGCCTCCGGCAGGCTGGCAGAACAACGTCGTGACGCCTCAAACGCAGGTGAGGCACTCGTTCGGAACGATCGACCTTGACGGCGTACCGAGTATGCAAAGCTTCCCTGGGATTCGTCAGGAGCAATCGAAGCAACAATCGTTCGTACCGACTGTCGCCGGTTTCCCCAATTTCCCGAGCTTCCCTCGAAAGAGGGGCGCTAGCTTGAGGCTGTCGAGCAACCCGTTCAATGCGACGTCCACGTTTGGAAACTCGGAGAAGATGATTGAAAACGGCTGGGACGTGAGCCTGGCGAATTTATCGAACGTTGGCGACGGGAGGAAGAACACCGAGGCTGAAGAGAGTCCAGGACCGGTGTCGGGAGCCGAGAAACCGAAACACTTTTTCGCCCCGCTGTCTTCGAAGTTGTCGAAGAAACAGATGGAGGAATCCTCGCCGACGATCAGCAGTTCTGGAACCGGCTCCACCGTAGTGTCCAAAAGTCAGTTCACGCCTCGGAAGGGATCGGCCGATCTCTACGTGGACGGAGCGATCCCGCGCGAGGACAATCGCACGCTGGACGACAGAAGCGGACAGAGGACGTTCTTCAGTATAGACAACTTATTGATCGCCGACGCGAAGTCGGCCACGGTCAATCAATTGACGAAGTCGTTGTCGTGGCAGGATTTGCCGAGCAAGTGTCAATCTGGCGGCAAGCAGCAGATGTTGACCCGGAGTGACAACACTTTGGACAATATATCGGACTCGAAGCCTTACAAATCGTACCTAAACGTGACACTGAGGACGCCGCGCGTCGAGCAGACGGTCAGCCCTGACACCCCGGAGATCCCCGAGCTACCCACGGTGGACTATCGGCTCTTCAAGAACCCCTTCCTACGAACTTTCGACCCGACCGCTAGCTACGCGAACCGGAACAACGTCACCAGACCCCTGTCCGTTCAAGTGAACGACGACAGCCTCTACTACTACCCTCCGCATCCTCAAGTGTCCACCTTTGGCAGAGTCCCTCTCGCGGACAGGTACAGAACGGCTCAACAGTCGGACAAGAACCGTCTCTTGATCCCGTCCGATCAATTGATCAACGGGAAGCTAACGTCACCGACGAGCAAGCCCCAGATCCAAGTGACGTCGTTCGAAAGACCGAGCCCCCATACTCTGGTGGGCCCGTCTACCACATACGAGTTCAACCCCATGCGCAGGTTGAACGCCAATCCATACTTGCACACCCAGAATTTGTACCAGAACGTGCCGTTCGTTCCGCGAGGAGGTTTGTACGGGCAGAGAGGGATGATGTATTACAACAACCTGGCGCTCAAGGTGCCAGCACAGACGCAGACCTCCATAGACGGTGACTCGCATCAAGAGGACGAGCACGCGCTGTCCCACGAAGAAAGCGCGCCGAACACGCCGAGCGGGCGTAGAAAGAGGGCGGCCAGGAAGGAGAAACCCGCCGCCCCGTCGCCTGCCGTTCAGAGGAAGTACAAGAAACAGAGCAGCGTCACGTCGTCGGAAGTGGTAGAGTCAGTGACGCGAAAGAAGCCCGCGAGGCCGAGTACCACCACGACGACCACGTCCGAGGGCCAGGACGACAAGAACGAGAGCAGATCGTCGTCGTCGGGTCAAGACTCGCCGAAGAAGGAGCAGACGAGAAGGGTGTCGCTGTACTTCAACGCGAAGAAGAGGCCGTCTCTGACCTCGGTGAGAACGGTGAGAAGCGGCAGCTCGGACACTGGCCGAGAAAAGGAGGCGCTAAACTCCGAGAGGGAGAGGACTAATTCTGTTAGCAGCCGAGAGATCGGCAGCGGAAGGAAGGCAAGGAAAGCGAGCACCAGCAGCGGGAACGTGCCTTGGTGCGCCTGCTGGGGCAACGGGTGTGTTTAGGGAGCCGGTAATTGGTTTTATTGGTGGCACCGGGCTGGATCTAATTAAACGTTCGAGTTTTGTTTATGTTGCGGCCTGGCTTATCAGCGTGTCGCCCTCGGCTTTCATTTTGGAGCGGACTGACGCGGATGGAATGTCTGCCGGTGCGAGACGGCAAGAGCGAACGTGCATTTCGATATCGTGAGAAAAATTTGAAATAAATAAGAGGACACGCGCTGCGACTACGACGTGTTTAGGAAAATGTAGATCGGCATCGTTGAATCATTTTAAATGATTCTGTCGTTTGGGAAAAAATTTCTTCTCGAGCTGTGAGCGATAGAAAATTCACAATTACCGTAGAGAGTAAAATAATTTAACAAGAGACATTGTATTGGAAAATACGATATGAAACAGAAACGAACGAGTAACATTGTTCAGTCAGAAGTTGAAACTTGAAGGAAAAGGAAAGAGATACGTAATATTTTATAGAGATCGTACCGATCTAATAAACTCGGGAAACGATCGACCGTGGGACGAGTGGTTTCTCGTAAAGGAGTAACCGAAGGAAAATATTGAACATAGAACTGGCACAGTCCAGGAGGAGCAGTATCGACCTTCAGCGTAACTAGAAGGCAACCGCTGCAGCCAATGGGGGAGGTCGTAAAACTAGCGCCAGGCGGAACCAGGACACCATAAAACCCGTTACCCCGTTCAGGTGACAGTTGCAACCGTGGTGGTGTTCTAGCCAGGAATACAGAAGCACGGGTCCCTGCCCTCTGCGCCGAGTTGCTCGAGAAGCAAGCGAATCGAATTAGGGGATTAATACGTAACGATGTCAGACCTGCCGCGTCGATGATCGCCTCGATAAAAGTTTCGCAAACTGTGCCAGAACCATCCAATTTTGTTATCGATCGCTCTTAGCCGATTCCAACGGAACAAAAGGGATTTTTCTTGTTCGTCCTGTTCGTTCGATTCAAGCCTTCGACGTTAGGTATTAAGTTCTCGGAGACACGTCTGTGCATTTATCGTAATTTAAGGTCGAGGAGATTAACGTATCTGAAGACGAGATTAAGAGTAATATGTCCTTTTTTGTATTTTTACGTAAGATTGCTTTTTATCTACGATGTAACCTCCAAGAGATGTAAATAACAATTCAGTTTCGAAAGTAAAGTTTTCGTGTGATGATTTCGTAAAATCGACGGAATGACGAAATGCATTTGCCCGATGTTCGATTCCCGAGTCGAACTGAGCGGCAAACGAGAGCGGAAGAAGATGGATCGATTCTTTCCAAAAGACCAGAGTGTACATCTATTCCCTCGGCTGATCCTTACCTCGAATCCACGCTTTTGTACGTACGTATCATAAATATTAACAAGCTGAAAACACTCGATTATTCTCCATCTCGACTCCTCTCTCGATACTCGTAATTTTCGACAAACCGCCGCGATACACCCTCGTGTTTTCGCCGAGTCATTGATCCCTCTTGGTATTAATTCATCGAATTATTGATTATTCGACGCAACTTATTCGCAGGAGCCCCATTTATTAATGGGGTCTGCAACGAGACGAGGAGAGAGAAAGAGGAGAGGGGGATGGTGAGGAATAGGAGGAGCGGGCGCGCAAGCTAAAGGTAAAGTTCGCTCTCGGCATCCTCCGCCGAAGCGCAAACTTCTGCAGCGTTCTCTCCGTGTCCGTTATTCCACGCCATCCCTGCTTTTACCCTCTCTCTCGAAGAACCACGGAGCGGAGGGGGGAGGGGGCAGGGAAGAAATTTAAAGAAATCGAGAGAAAGGAATCGCCCGGGTAAATTGAATGTACTTACAATTAAACGCGCTGCCTCTTCTTTCCTTTTCCTTTTTTTTCTTTTTCTTTCTTCTCCCCCTCCCCCCTCTCTGCCATTCCGCGGCGAGGAAAGTTTAAGAGCATCGGGAAGAGAGAGGATGCTACGAAATGGAAGCCGGCCGGAGATCATTTCTTTGCGAGAAATGCTCTTTGATTCTTTTTTTTTTGTTTCGTCTCGATGAAGCTGAGATGGATTGTGCCCCGCGCGCGAATTTATATCCGCCGCTTTAATTTCTGGCTTCCGGTGGGGATCTATTCCGGTGGTCTTTGAGGTATTCAATTCAATTTTAATCGTCTACTCTCGGTTCCACGGACGATCAAAGCGAGCTGGAGACAACTCAATTTAAAGAATCGATAAACCTAGAAATGATAAATCTCACCGGTCGGATCGGAAATGACCTTGAGAAGCCGTCGACTACAGCAGAGTCTCGCGGGCTGTAAACTGTAAACTAGGTAAAGGCGAATGTTCGCGGCACAATGGCGGCACAATGAAACAAAGCTCTCGGCGGCTGGAAACTCTGCCGCTCGCGAGGAAAGGCGCGGGCAGGTTGCAGTGTCAACGTCGACGAGGGTGCACGCGGTTCGAAGGGGTGGCGGACGCAGAGTATGGAGACAGACCGGCGCAATTAAAATGCAAATTATCTCTTTTCGCGCGGCCATCTTTCCAGAAGAGGCTGGCGTGCTCGCAACCCTACGCCGTCACCGATTAACTTGGAACTAATTTACGACGACGACGACGACGACGATGGCGGCGAAAGCGACGCGAGACGTTTTGTTAATACGGGCCAACGTCATTTGCAAACGTCGGTCGAAACGTCGGTCTCTTCGTTTTGGCCGTGATTTTCGCCCCCCCGAAAGTGGACATTTCTCGCCTCGCGCCTCTGATAAAACTGTCGTTCACGTGGGCTCCTCTGCTCGAGCGGCAGACGGCACGCGTTTAAGGGGCCGTGGTATTTTGGCGATGAGAGGTCGTTTGAATAATTGACGCGATTATTGCGAAACAAGAACGGAGACACGGAGGGGTTGCGTAATTATTCATTGTCTGCGACACGGGAGATGCGACATGACTCGGATGCGAGGAAATATGTACTTTGATCGTGTGGCGGGTGTAGATTACAGGGATTGACTGGGTCAGGGATTAGATCTCTGATGAGAGGCGGAGTTAATGAAGTTGTGCTTCGCGTTTCGCGACGCTCTCCACCTGGCTTGTTCGCGGATTTTCACGGTTCTTTTTTTTTCGAGATGATTCGAAACTCGCGCGCGTGATTTTTTTACTTCTTTGTCAATAAAAAAAAAAAGAAACAAATAGTGGCTGTTTCAATCCTTCCCCTCCCCCCTCGGTGAAAATGTGTCAGAGAATCTTATCCGATATCCGATAAAATTCCTCCCCCGAAAAATTCCCCAAATGCCCGAAAAAGTTACTCCCCGAAAGATACCCCGAAACAAAATCGTTCAAATTCCACGGATTCCGCGGATTCGCGGAGTTCCGTTTGCGCGGAACGTTGCCGAGTTCGAACGACTGCCAATCTTGTCTCAACTAAACTCGAACCCCCGTTGTTCTCCCCCGTCACTCGCCGGCGCCCGAGAAAAATATGCAATTCACGAGAAAAGAATTCACCAACAACGGCCAAAAGGGGTCGAACAAACTCTGAAACCATTGAAACGAGCTGATCGGCTCCTCAAAATTCGCCGAGACGAAGGAGCCGAAGGAAGGAACGCGACGGTTAATTACCGCTAGCCCCGAAGATATATTGTAATTGCGCAACAACCTCCTCGGGAGATACGTTTATCACGTAGGCTGCGAAACAGAGGTTGGCTGTGCTTCGTCTCTATGCCCCGCGCGGATATCGCGCGATACGAGCAAGATTATCGGGCGAGGGAATACCTATACAACGGAGCGGCCATGAATTCCAATTAAAAGCCTATCGTAAGTATTTATAGGCCGAAGACGGGAACGATATCTACTGTTACAATGGCCGTTAAGATAATCAGCTTTAATTACGCACCTCGTAAAGCCTTTATGAATCCGGTCAGGCCGAGCGGACATCGTGGCGCCGTGGTTTAAGCGAATCTTTGTGCCACGACACAATGGTATCGGTGTTACGTACCTGCAACGAAGAGAAACGATTAGCTACGTGCACTTGAGATGGGCCAGATTTATTGCGTGACATTGTGGTTCGCTGTTCTTTTCATTTTAATACCTCTTTTCAAATTGACAAATTTAACCACTTGCGCTGGCAACTTGTTCGCGGACCGTAACGAGTGACCGAACCGTATATACAATAATTCGTCGCTTTCTTTTTCCTTTTGAACTCGTCGGTACGGTATCACTGGAAATGATTAAGAGGTAATAGACTTATCATTCGTTGTCATTCGTATATACTTGAAACGGAGGAAATGTTGCAATTTGTGGTAAAAAAAAGTTCTCGACGTGCACGTCGTTTCAGCGCAAGAGGTTAACGATTGAAATAAAAATTGGAAGAAACTCGAAGATCAAGTTTAGCAAGAGTTGAAGCAAGAATGAAAGAATAAACTTGCTGAATTAAAAAATTAAACCGTGTAAAATTTACGGTTATCTGGAATGGGAATAAAAGTTGAAAGAAACTCAAAGATCAAGTTTAGTAAGAAGCAAGGTTCTATTCATCTTTGACGTTAGTTCTTGTACAGTGTGTAAGTTCTTCATATGGAACTAGACGATTGTGACTCGCTTTACTATCTTGTTTGTACGACCGCCAACTGACATCTGCTAATCTTCCGCCGGATTAAAAAAAAAAAAAAAAAAACTCATAATCCAATGGTTGCGGTAACGAGCAGAGACTTAAACGAAGGAACTTCATTCCGACCTGTGGCACCAACACTAAGGACAATAGCCAGCTGGCGTTCGAGTGTCCGATGTGCAGCGACATAACGCGAGAACGTAATAAAGCTCGCGGTCTACTCGCTCGAAATTGTCCGGACGAAAAACGTAATGAAACTCTGGCCGCCGTAGCGTAGGCACACTATGGAAGAGGCGGAAAACAACGGAGGCACGGATGAATTCTTCGCCAGGCTGAAACGTTTCGAAGTGTTTGGAATTTTTCTTCGCTGGAAGAAACTTGCAGCCACTTTCGCTCGCCTTTTCTTTTTTTTTTTTTTTTTTCTTTTTTTTCTATCGGGAAAGCGAGAGGCAAACCCCCGTAGGAATATTTCCCTGTGGAAACTTTTCATCCTGTAATTTCGACATCGTTGTCTCTCTTCCTTTTTCTTTCACCCCCCCCCTTTTTTCTTCTTTTTCTCTTTTGTCCCGCGGAAATTCGCCCGACGTCGAAGTTTTCTTTGTAATTCCCGACGAGAGAACGTTATTGGACATAACTGCAACGACGATGTTTGCGATGTTTCGGACAAAGTTTTCGCCACGTTGCGAGATTCTATCCGAGATCTTTCGGCTCATAAACAGCGAGAAACTAAACAGTTTGGCGGAAGAATCTCTCTTCTTTATTTTTTTCCCCCTTTTTCTTTTTTTTAGCAAGCACTTCGAGGAAACTTCGAAGTTCCTTGGCACGGAGAAATAACTTATCAAATGTTGCGAATGTTCAAACGCGTTCAACGTCGCCGCATAGTTTCAATTAATATTCAGCAATTTACGCTCGTGTAAACTGTGTTACAAGTTGCGTTGAAACGTTGCGGTTAACCGCTGATTGTTTAATAATTCAACGCAACATAATAATTTATCAATTTCCGTAGGTCATTTCTAACTCGACTAACTTCCCACCGTGCCGGAGATTTTCGAAACAGTGTCGTTCCTTTCATTTCCTAACCTCAAAACTGCTGGTACAGTTGTTATTCTAACATCGATTGATTTTAATTTCGATCCTAGTAACTTGGGAATATCCTATATGTTATATAAAACGTATTTGCACTTGAATACTTTCGTTTTCGGTCATCTTCTCGTTCATTCCAAAGTCCTCATTTTCATGGCTTTCTACACGCATTTGAACATTCTCTTCATGCGTCTTCTTCGCATTTTTTTTATTGTTCTTCAGTCTAGTCCACTCGACTGTTTCTCCTTTATTGTTAATAATAGATTGTATACATTTTACAATGGTATCATGCGTGAAAATTCCAATACTTTATAAAAATCTGCAAACTTCATCTTTGCCCTCTGTGTTTCTCGTTTTTTTTTTTTTCCAACGTTTCTTGTTTATCTTTCTTCCAATCGCGGACGTGGAGAAGCGGGGACATTTGTTTCGTCGAATTTCGCACGTGCAAATTTTACCTCTGTTTCCCGATTAAAAATTCCGCGAACGAGGAACGGGCTACGCTAGTGGAAATCGATCTCCGCTCCTTTC